GCTAGTGACGTCAGACTTAACGACCGGATATAAAGTGTCCTAAAATGTGTAAGCTCAACACAATACTCTACAATAAAGCATGTGAAGTGTTACATTCTTCTTTGTGATATTTTCAAAAATAATGATTTTTGCTTTTTTCCATTAGTTATTCATTAATTGAGCATCTTTAGTCAGATTAACTTGAACTGTAACATTTAAATGTAAATACAACTCAAATATAAATGGCACTATATGCATGATATACTTAAAAGTTTGTTCCCATTTACACACACACACGCACACCTGTCCTCTGTCCTGGTTATGCAGCAACACCAACACATACACAATAAAATATAAAATGCTGATCATGAATGGCAGCGTCTGCAGGTCAGCCTAACTCTGCTCACCTACTGAGCTAAACTGGCGCCCGTCAGTCACTATGTCAAAATAAACTGAACACAAATTCATCAGCAGCAGCAGTTCAGTTCTGGCACAACTGTCTCACCGGTTTGTGTTGGGATCTCTCAGTGAAGACGCACACAGATAGCCTCCGGTTTTAATCCCTGTCACAGGAATCTTTATCTGCAAAGCAATTTACTCTCAGTATTCAATATATTCAGAGTTCTTTGCCATATGATTGAGTTTGTGATTTACATTTGCTCACTATGTGGATTCTACACCAAGTTTCTACACATCTAAATATTTCTAAAAAGCTACTTGTAGGCAAATACTTTAATTATACGCAGAAGGAAAACCAGTTTAGCTGCACATGCAAAACTAGAAAAGAAAGAAGTCAGAGACGACAGCATATTGACCTCCTGAAGGACAGTACCTGTGCAGTGTGCTTATCTACACGGTTGTATCTGTCAGTCAGATGGATGTTGTGGACCTTTAAAGGTGGCGCCCCCAGGCTTTCCATGGCAACTGGACACGCCTCCAACTCCTGCACAGCCAGCCTGTGGTAGTCTGACCCAGCAAAGGTCTCTAAGTAGACAGCAGACAGAATGATATGTGTGAGTGAACAAAAACAGGAAAGCTAGAACATAATACAACATTTTAAAGTATGAATGGAAACAGTTACTC